ACCCTCACACTTAGCTTCTGTTGCCCATATGTAACCCATTATGTAGTCTAGCAACATGGGATCTAAGTAGACGATAGATTGTTTCTGTTTGATCCAGGAACATCTTCAATGTTCTCTCTTACACAAATTCCTTCCTCCCAGTTTCTTCTTTTGATGTGGGAGAACTTTCGCTTTTCCTTTACTGAACCACCAGGGAAATTTATAAAGAAAGTTCCTTTTTGGGTTGGTTTAATCCCACCTGTATGAAACCAAGTGGATGCACCCCTTGATTGGAAGTAGGGAAGGGGCATTTACCTCCTCGAAGTTTAGTACATTAAGAACCAGCCCATTCCCATTGGTTAAGACTTTTAGTTCTTCTCTGGATGCAGATCTGGGATAATTTATCCCTGCACTTGCTTATTCTGGTGGGCATTTCATGGAAGTATATTTTTATGTACTATACAACTTATTGTCCCAGCCACACTATACAAACATAATCTGCCAACCCTCTGATATATACAAGCCAGTTGAGCAGTTTTTACAGTCTACCTACCGTTGCAACACTTTAATACGTTACATGAAGTTCTGTATTGGTCAAAGAGGAGTTCCTGCTTGAGATGGATGCAGTTTTTACCAAGTGATGCTCCCATTCATCTCCTCCCTCCTTGTTGGTGACTTGTTCACAAGTTTTCCCTTTCTGTCACTATATTCTCAGAAAGAAGCTCATCATTTACATTTCTCTATCTACACTGGCTCCTCCACTGTCTTATCAATATGGAGTTCTAGCTATGTGGTCTGTGGAGAGGTGAGTAGCATTTCTGAAGTTAACATTTTCCTTACCTGAAAATACAGGTGTCCATAAAGTCTGGAGACATAAGGAAATGACCTAGATATATATATATCTATTATGTTAATTATGACCTAAATTTGGAGGAGAACACATTAAACAGTTGTAGTTTCAATATACAACTTCTTTTTTTAATTGCCCTATGTCTCCAGACTTTATGGACATCCTGTATATCTCAGATAGATACTCACCTGTCCACAGAACCATCCACCCTTTCCCACTTTCAGTGTGTCTGTTTTGCTTCATCGAGAATGAAATTTGTATATACATAAAGGACTCAAGGGGAGTACTGCATGGAGGGTGTGTCACCTTTTTATTGATGGAGCAGTATAATCTAATGTTGATTGTGTCATAGACTGGTCCAAGAGACATTTTGTTTAGGGGTGAAAGTTTTTTCAAATGCTTGATGCATGCACAAAAATGTATTGGCAGTGGCACAAGGTATTATCTACATGTTCTGTGGAGAGGTGAGTATCTATCTGAAATACATTTTCAGGTAAGAAAAACATTTAACACTTGAACTTGAAAACTGCATAAAATTTAACATAAATATTACTAATTGCACCTTTTGCCTAGTCATTTCACAAGCTGTATGAAAAATGTTAAACAAATCTTAGTGTCATTTTAGTTTAATTAAACTTCTTATTTCTAAAATACTTTTCACATTAAATCTGATTTTTAGTACTTGAGCAGTCTCCTCTGAAAATTAAAAGCTAAAAAATCTAATATTTTCTTTGTATGTATGTACTTTTTTCTTTTTGTTATTGACTCTAGTGATTTAATTTTCTTTTGTATTAGCATCATGTGAGAAATGTTATGTTTTGTTACATTTTTTTTCTTTTTTACTGACTATCTTTTTTAGCTATACCTGGGTAAGTACCTCTTTAGCTTTATTATATTAACATTTTTAGATAGATTTTAACTTGAAGTCAAATTCTAGTTAATGTCACTCATTTATTATTTCAGAATTTGGAATTTAAACCCAGACCACTCTTATCTGGTGAGGAACATGATTACATTTTAGCTTTGAAACAAGAACTACGAGGGACACTCAAAGATTCTGGATTCTATGTACAACCTGTAGTACAAAAAAAAGATGTAGAACGATATACTGATAAGTATCAGCATGGAACACTCTCTGGAAGTGAGATAAAATTTGGTAAGTCTTTTACTTTATTCCACTGGTTATAAAGCAGAAAGTTACCACATTTTTTATACTTGCATGAAAGTTGTTACTGTTTAATGATAATTTTTTCAGACAGTATAAAAAAATGTCTAAGATTAGACAGACATTGGCTTATTTTTATTATGAATATTCTATAACAGTTTTCTTGGCTTTTCTTATATCCCCCTCAAGGTGGATTCCTGTACGTAGTGAGGGGACCTCCCAGGGAAAGTTCTGTATCTTCATTTTACCTCCTCTGGGATATTAACATCTACCCATGTGTTTGTCATGTGTGGCATCCCGTGAAGGGGAGGAGAGGATCTTGGTGGTTGAAGGGTGTTATCTTGATGGGTCAATTTATATTGGTAGTGCCTCGACATATCACTTTGGCCTTTAGTACCTGTAGACAGGTGGCCTTGAGGTGGCTCCCCCAGGGTTAATTGGCTGGTCCTGTTGGGCTAGGGTCAACAGTGTTGGACGTTCTCAACAGGTGTTGTTGACATTGTGTCTAATGCTGGTGTTTAGATATAATGCCCATGAAAACCTTTGCATAGCTACAATGTTATTGTTTGGCATTGTAGTGCATTCCCTCGTAGGGCTCCATGGTTTGTGGGGTCAGTGGGCACTGAATTTTCTCCATTTTTTATGGATCTTGCACCCAGTGCCCCCCCAAAAAAAAACAAAAACAATAAAAAACTCATGTTGATAGGTAAGTGACCATGTTTGGAAGACTCGGATCAGCAGTCACCACCCCTATCTGTTCCTGAAGCTCATTTTTTCATTCTTCATTCGTTGTCTGACAAACCTTTAGAGAAAATGTCTCCCTTTTTCATTCAGAAGAGATTAGAGGGGCTTGCTGGCTCTCCAAATTCAGTTAAGGAGCTATGTTCTGGAGACATCTTGGTGGAAACATCTACACCAAAATACAGCAAAGTCCTCCTGAAATCAAAAGCCAATGGGGATATACTTATTGAGGTTACTCCAAATGCTACTTTGAATTTCTCATGAGGAGTTATCATTGAGTAGGATTTAAGGAGTATCCCCAAGCTGGAGATCCTTGCTGGTTTCTCCAGCCAAGGAATTTCTACTGTGCGACATATCTCCACTCATAATGATGGAATTATGCTGCCTACCAATGTCCTTATATCCGCTGCTGCACTCCATTCCACTGCTACAGTAGGAGTGCTGACAGATCTTTCCGTGCCTCCATTAGAATTTTTCTCACACCATGTAAAGAGTCTTTTGCCCTGTTTGGATGCAAGAGTCTTGGGCTAAGATATCACCACTTTCCTTTCTGGGCAGATCATCTCCCGTTTACACTGGTGGAACATAAGCTTGCTTTTCATCAGTCTGGCAGTACATCAGTCGGGCCTGATTACATTCACTATGAAATGCTGTGCCATCTCTCTCCTGCCTTTGTTGCTCTTATTCTGGTTGTTTTTAATGGATATGGCAAGTGAATGTTTTTCCAGATGCGTGGCACAAGACTATTGTTATCCCTTTCTCAAAGCCCTAGAAGGAGCCCAAAATTACTTCTAATTATCATCCAATTGCTTTGACTAGCTGTCTCTATAAAGTTTCAGAGAGGATGGTTTATGTACGTCTTGTTTGGTTACTTGAATCAAAAAAACTCGTCTCACCCAATGTGGTTTTCATAGACAGTGCCACCATGAACCACCTGATTCATCTCAAAACCTCGATCAGAGAAGCCTTTCTCAAGAGAGAGCATATTGTTTTTATCTTCTTTGATCTTGAAAAAGCTTATGACAATACATGGAGGTTTGGCATTTTGTGTGACCTCCATTGATATAGTTTGCATGGAAATTTACCCATTTTTATTTGTAACTTTTTACTCGACTGGAGTTTTCAAGTCTGTATGGGCTCAAACCTGTCCCAATCCTTCACACAAAGGAACTTGGAGTTCCTCAGGGCAGTGTCTTGAATGTCATACTTTTCAGTATTAAGATTATTGCTATCGCTGAACAACTTCCTCTTACTGTTGCAAATAGCCTCTATGTTGACAACTTCCACATTTCTTGTCACTCGTCAACCAGGAGGTGTATTGAGCAGTAGCTTCAAATGGCTCTCACTTACTGGTTGGGGTGAGCCAGGACAAATGGTTTCACATTTTCTTCATCTAAGACCATTTGCATAGCTTTTTTGCCACCAGTAGGGTTTGCATTCTGATCCATAGCTCCATCTGGGGGGTGATGTTCTTCCCGTGGTGGCTGAAACTAAGTTCCTGGAATTTATCTTTGACCATAAGCTTACTTTCATTCCTGAACATCCTCTGTGTCCTCTCTTCCACCTGTTGGGGTGTAGATAGATGTTTCATGCTCAATATCTATCGTATCCTCATACGATCAAAGCTGGACTATGATGGGTCTAGGGTCTACGGTTCAACTAGAGACTCTGCCTTGAGGATGTTGCACCATCTGGGGCTTCAGCTATGCACAGGGGCTTTTTGCACCTCACCAATCCAGAGTCTGTACATTGAATCCCATGAACCTCCTCTTCACCTCATACATTTGTAACTTTCTTTGCAACATGTTACCAAACTTTGATCCTTATCACAGTAATCTCACCTGGGATTGTATCTTCTTTCTTTAGTGGCCTTTGCTGTTTGAGAATCTGTGGTTTGCCATTCCTCCATTTAGCTATTGTATACAGGCACAGCTAACTGAATTTGGTCTATCATTAGATGATATTGCTGATTCTGATCACCATCCCATTCCTCCATGGCTTGTTACCACCCCCACGTGTGACCTTTATTTCTGTCATCTGAGGAAGGCGGATACTCCTGATTAGAAGTATTGTCTTCTCTTTGCCAGACATCTTTTGAACCATTCTTCTGTTCTTGTTTTTACAGATGGTTCAGAATCAGTTGACTCTGTGGGCTCTACTATGGTTTGTTGTGGCTTGGTGGTTGCTCATAGGATCCTCTCTACAGTTTCTGTGTTCACTGCCACGTTGTATGCTATTTTTCTTGCCATGGATCACATTGAAGCAGTTGAAGTACTAAATACTAACCAGTACTCTATCTATACTATTTCCACTGATTCTCTTAGCTCCCTACTGGCCATAGAATTGCTTAATGTGGGTTCTTACCCTGTTCTCATGGACATTCACAAACAACTGGCCCAATTTTTGTCTGTCTAGTTTTTCTGGATACCTGGTCATATTACTATTATGAGAACAAGCTTGTTGACACCACAGCTAAGTCTGTCTGCTCTGGCATTGTCACAGCCATGCCTGTCACATATATGGACGACGGTCCTGTGATCAAGTCATGGCTTCACACCAGTTGGCAGTCGACTTGGGGTGAACACATTCATAACAAGTTTTTCCAACTCAAACCATCTGTTGATCTTTGGCCATCTAGTTTCCATAAGGAATGGAGAAAGGAAGTTGTCTTGTGTAAGCTACTCATTGTTTTCTTTTATGTGGGACTGATCTACCAATGTGTGACCTTTGTGACACTCAAGTCACAATTGCCCATGTTTTGCTATCATGCTGTTGTTATGGCTGTGAACAGCAGCACCATTTTAGGCATGTTTTTTTTTCAGGGTTTACCCCTGACATTGGACAGTGTCATTGGCAGTGGTGACACTGTCTAGCTGGACTGTGTTTTATAGCTTTTTATGAGCCACTGGCCTTTTTCATTCTATTTAATTTTATATTGGATATTGTTTAGCTTTTAACTTGTTTTCTTCTTCTTACAT